TTGTCTTCTAATAAAGTGCACATTTTATTACCCATTAGCTTGTAAATAAATGTTATCTATGCATGCGAATTCAAAACCAGCTGTAGGTAATTCAATTATTAATATATGTGTATAATAAACTGATAATTTTGCTAAGCAAATTGAAACAACTCTTATCAATTAAAATACAATATTTCAGCTGTTATTTAAATAAGATTCACATTTATACCTAGATAAGTATGTTGTAAATATAAAAATTCATTTTTTGTGTGTCAAAAGAAATTTATTTTATATCTTCATGGAAATAAATAAGTTTAATAGATACATGAACAACAAATGTACATACAATAGTGATATTTGTGCAGTGCATTTTTAGAGTCGATAATATTTTGATTCTACATTTTCTCTTAGAAAGCTCACGAAGGTACTAAAATATTAATTACTTTGCAAGTTTCGAATATAATGCTAAACAAGTTTATTTTTGCATTTTACACTTTACAACAATACCACAAACATATTAACGAAATGAAATGAGTGGTAAAAATGATGTAATTTTCAAAAGTAGCAAAAATAGAATCTTCAAATAATTATCGCAAACGTAAGTTTAGGAAGCATAAATCAAAATTTTAGGATATTTAGCAAAATTTTAGATAAAACGTTAGACATTTTCATGTGTAGAATTTAAGGTAGGTTGAAATTTTTTGTATTGTAGGTGTTTTTATAACTTACTTATTAAAATATAGCACTTTCACGAAGGTTTAATATTCCAATACTACATATAGAAGTTAATAAGGAAATTGATTGAAAAAACAAAGTTATAAAAGTAGGTAATACAATAAAAACAAATACATCTTCAAATAATTATCCCAAACGTAAGTTTAGGAAGCATAAATCATAATTTGCTTAGGATATTTAGCAAAATTTTAGATAAAACGTTAGACATTTTCATGTGTAGAATTTAAAGTAGGTTGAAATTTATTGTATTGTAGGTGTTTTTATAACTTACTTATTTATTAAAATATAGCACTTTCACAAAGATTTAATATTCCAATACTACATATAGAATTAATAAGGAAATTGACTGAAAAAAACAAAGTTATAAAAGTAGGGTTTAAAATTTTCTTTCAATTAAATAAAGTAACGAACAATTCGTAGGATTTATTTATATACAACTATAAAATTGATTATAATGTTTTATTTTGACTATTTTTTCTCTTGGTTACATAATTATTTTAGTTTTGTGGTTTTAAGACATATTACTTTAGCAGAGAGTACAGAGTTGGCAATCTGTTATTTCAAAGAATATTTCTAGAATTTTAAATGTCTGTGATAATAAAAATTTCTGAAAAAAAAAACAACTATTTAAACGAAACATTTGTTCCAGATTTTATCCTGGTTATAAATAAATCAAATAGAAAAGAATCTAGGGCAAACCAATATTATTCCCTTTAGATATTTACGTGCAAGTGAATGGCAAACTTATTGTTATTTACGCGCTGTTTCTCTTTATATAAAATAGGTTAAAGATTACAAACATCGCGAATAGATGCTATCAATAATTATTGTATAACCAGAATGTTTTTTGTATGGTAATTGCATTGTACAATTTATAAAAAAAATAATATAAAATAGCGAATCCCAGGCATTCGTTGATCGAATCGATTTTTATTAATGCCAAGTAAGTTTAATGGAAAGAAGAAGAAAAAAAAGAGCTCGGTATAAAACAAGAATTTTATAGCATTTACAATCTAATCATTTTCAACGGTCGCGCATATTTGCATATTCAAATTGTTATTTTTTATTGTATTTGCTTATTTCTTTCCAACGAAAACACGCGCTCTTTGTATCTCATGGCTAACCGGATGTGCGGCCATTAAAGCGATGGCCGGAATTCGAATTTCATTTTATATATTCCGCCCGGGTTTATGCTATATATATTAAGTGTATTTAGATAGGTGGTATACACTTATGTAAGATTTTTATTTTATAAAAAAAACTAATTTAAAACTTTTTTTTATTGTTGTTTGCGACGATTTTATATATCGCACCATAACGTCCGTTCGCCATCCTCGTGTGTGTGACCTAAAACACGTTTCCAGAGCGCGACGATAAAATAAAGTCATTATGGAACGCCCAAGCAACAATTGATACATTCTGGGGAAGCCTACACACATACACATGTGCTCCATTTTATATGATCTTTCCTTCGCGAAATGAACGGTTATAAATACGCCCATATTGAATTAATAATAAGGGTGGACGTATCGAACGACGGACGTTATTAACATTGTGGGCTTTGTTAAATTTGTCATCTGCATGCAAATTGCAATGCATTTCCAAGGCCCGATTTATACGCGCATCCTTCTAACCCGGATGGAGGAGATAGCATAGTTTATTGATTGGACCGATTGAAATACAATCGACAATTATAGGTTTCCAGGTAATAATATAGCAGCAGGAGGATTTCGTTCTGACATCTTCGATTTATTTCAGTTCCATTTATTTATTTTCATTTGTCGACTCGGCACACACGCGAATCCCACCAATAAAAACTATAAATAAAATTGCGCTCCGTTCCAGATGATACAGTTTGCAAAATGCAGGACGCAATTAAATTCGAAACGACGGGAGACGTCCCGGTTGTCAATAAAACCCGAAAATAGGTCCCGCTTCTTCCGCCTTTTCCGATCACTAAACGACAATCTACAACTTGTTATATTTTAATTATTTTTAGTTAACTTCAAAATTTATGTACTTATTGTTATTTTTTTTTCGTCGTCAAGCCCAACCCTTACTGTATTCATTTTTTTTGTAATTACAATGTTTACGAGGATGTGACAAAAAAGCAGTGAAAGTTCGCATGTCGCCGGGAAAATTAACATTGCTGAAACGTTGCGTGCACAAGTATAATAAAACCGCGCGAATTAATTATCGCTATAATCAAGGATTCCTTTTTTTTTTCTCTCTTTATGCTGAATTTATATTTGGGTGGCGCCCTTTAAACTTAACTACTGGCCTATTTTAAGCATTAATCTCCATGGAACCCAACTCAATCTAAATTAATTACATTAAGTACACCTGAAGATTGATTAATTACGTGTCACTAACATCGCAAATTTATCAAAGCTAATTCAAATTCATTCCACAAAATAAACAATAAATCAAAATGACACTAGTATTTTCTATATTGCATATCAATGCAAATGATGTAACTTTCGGCATGTATTATACATAGTTTCAAAAGAATATAAAAGGCCAAGAACATTAACAATTTTTGAAGGAATGAACGACTACAATATTTGAGCATATATGAGTTGTCTACTGGTGTTGAATCAATGTAGTTATATAAATTTTGTCAAAATATTTAGTTCATGTTTGGATTTGTAAACAAAGAGATATTATTAGTATTATTTTAGTTGGTCCAAAAACGACTGAAGTCTTTTTACCAATATAAAAACTTATTTTTATTATTATTTTCCAGCCAATGGAGATGCTGTAATACTTGAGATATTATCAATTGTTTACAGTGAGTTTGTGCTGATGTGGAATGCACCAGCCATTTAGCTCATGGTCGGCATTACTGAATGGGCATACTAAAATATAGTAGAGATATAAAATACCTTACCCAGATTGCAATTTACTATTGTCGGAATAAATATAAATATTAAATATGAATAAAAGTCCTTACTCAATAGAATTGCTTTTAATCCATAATTTGAATATTTCTGTTTCTAATCCATTAAGCAAGATGATGGTTGTATCATTTCAGTTTTATTAGCAGGAATAAGGACTTTCTTCAATATTTTATTATTAATATAAAGTTTAGCACGTCTGTAATGTTCGCAGCGGATGGTATCATTAGTAGTAGACTATGGTGGCCATTTGCAGGATCATTTTTATTTACGCTTCGTACATAATAATGTAATGTCTCTATATGCCACAAAGATACAACCTGTATTTACGGTTATTGTTTAAAAATATATAAACAAAATGTACGTTATTTCGTAACCCACGCTCTTGTTGCCGATTTAAGTAAACTAACGCTGCTACTACCATAAAGTCCAAGTTTTATTGCTTATTTAGATTTCACAGCGCTCTCATAAATATTTTTAATAAGTTATCTAAAACATATTTGGGAAATAACTATTTGCAAATTTACGAAACTTTCGATATTTATGAATTTATATCGTATCAAATTTCATTAAGTAATCAATTTTAATGAAATTTTGTCTTTTTTCAAAAAGCAATAATCAATATATACAATTTCTTTGGTATATCGCCTACAGTAGATTATAATTAAATGTGTTAATAGATCTGCACTTCAACAGTACCATTATATAATAAATTAAAAATAGGCACCCATTGACAACGTTAAGTTTTTCAGTGATGCGTTTTTTCTTTCGTTTCATAAAATGTATTTTGGCAGCATTTCAGATATACGGTAAATGGGCCAGAAAAATAAATTACGAAACTAATACAAAAAAAAGTATCATTTGTACGTTGTAGGCATGGTTAATAAAATTTTAATTAATAAAATGTATGTTTATAGAGATAATTTCATTATATAATGAAATTAGTAAACATGTTATGGCAATAGACAATCATAAGGCCTTAAAAACATATATTGTGCAGTCATTAAAGTGGAATACTTATTTAATAATAAAACTGGAACTATTAATTGGTTTTGCGCTAGCAAATTTCCTTTTATAGAAATTTGTTTTTCACATTTTACATTTTTTATTTTCAAACAACGTGTGGTAAATACAGCTGTAAGCTTTTCGTATATATTCATATCGCCTTGATGTATTACAGATTTATTTAACCATTAAAAAAATCGTTAAAACGCATTTACTGCTTTTTAATAAATCCGAGGCGTCAATTGTTATGAAATTTATGGTAATTGAGCGAAACCTTCGTTATTTAGTTTCGAATAAATCATCGCGATGTCCCGCTGCTAACTTAAAACTTATTTTGAAACATCGAATATATTTATTCACGCTTGTTCATTTCTTTTATTTCAGTGAGGATACGAACAAGTACAGAGGATTTGGACGACCACAATCGAAGGAAACGACAAGAAGTGTTTAGATAAGTGCGCAACAACTATTCAGAAAGGAACTAAACTGATCGAAAGGAAACTAGAGGAGAGAAAAAAAAAAGGAGAGGCACCAACAGTATAAACTCGTTTAAATCTTTAATAATTTAATAACTAACCAGCTTTAAAGTGCGCTGTTTTGTGATTTAGTTTTATCAAACGTGATATTATGTATAATTTAAATATAAACATGGCCACATCGGCGGGGAACCCAGTGAACAACCTCCTGGCAGTAGAGAACAATTGCACTACGCCACGGACTCCGGAGATATTGAACTCCCTGATAGCCATGACCACCAATCCTTTGGATAACTACAACTTCGGCGACGTGGCGCCCAAGAAGTTTCATCCGAACAACATGTCCAGCGATTCCAACAGCTCCAGCTGTAGTCAGGAATCCAGGACCCCCACAAATGTCTTCTCTAGTGTCCAACAGACCTGCTCCCAGCTCATCAAAGCCGGACTCAAACTCTCGATCGAGCAGAAACGAAAACTTCAAAGCGACAGCGAAGACCTGCTTGACCTCGACAAAGTCAAGCGCATCAAGAAAAACGAAAGCGAATCAGAAGAGGACAAATACCAAAATCCCAATGGGGTAAGTTTGCTGATGATGGTTGTGCACAAAATGTGCCAATTTTAATTCAATCTTTACACACGAATCAATTATATTTACTCTACAAAGATAATAAACTCTGAGGAGACTCGAAGTTTTCCACTTTTCCGAAATGATTAACGATGCCCGCCTTCTAAATTGAACTACAACCGCTAAATTCTCTGGTCTAATACCTTTAATACTAGAATAACAAATATTAATGCTACTCATTGTTTATTTTAGTTATCCTTTTGGCATGATCCGATCTAAATAGGTGTATCTTTACAACTCGCGTACAACACACAGGTTGTTGGCACATTACCAACAATTCTTACAAACGGCGACGCCATGGCCGGAAATGTTTTTCCTTTAATTTTAACTATTATTATGTTAACAAATCATAGACCGGTCTGCATTTCGTAAGACTTTGTTTACAATAATTACGAAATTATGTAGTTTGGCCCACTCTCCAAGAATATGTACAAAAACATAAAATAAAAGCGAAATGGATTCTCCGCCGGACACAAGTAACACGATATATTCACTCTAAAAGCACTTTTTTGTGTATTCTATATTTAATGGAGGTACACCCAGAGGTTAAACATATTTTATTAAATAACATCAAAATCATTTAACTTTTAATGTTAATTGATCTTCCCGCCAGAACATATCGAACTAATAAAATAGCAAGTTAAAATAACATTAATTTTGAATATTTATTCTTGTTCATTGAAATTTACGATCATAGTTTCGAGAATCCATGAATATCATGCATATATATTAAGTTCCAAACCAAATTTATTGTTGTTAACGCGACTTTTTATTCATTGCGAAAAAGTATGTTTTCAAATTTACGAAAAAAAACGTAGCGATACGAAGCAACATCGTTATATACTTAAATTCTTGATATTATTAATCTAATGTTTATATTATCCTTGAGTGAATCCCAAACTGAATAAATATTCACAAAATTAATTTTATTTATTTTATCTTCAAGTACATCCACTTAAGTATTTAATTATGAGCGAAAATAAAAAAAAACAAATTGTTATGATTAATTAGTTCGTACGAATGTGTTAGAAATGCCAAACGTATAAATTAATTATAAATTGAGTATTTGAGAATGTATATTTGACACGTTACTTGATGGTATCTCAATTGCAAGCGGGTTTTGAGCAAATTTTGTATTCAACTTAATATTTACATTTGGTGGAATGAAAGACTTCGAGTGTCTGTACGTTGGAGCGAGGCGAATAAATATTTAAAGAAAAGCGACATTAGGTCCTTCAAATTGAAAATAATAATAAAAAGAAGCGTTTTGAAGCATTCGCGCATTAAGCATTCATATATTGAGTTGGCATATTTTGCATATCACAATCCGATTGATATGTATGGAAAGTTTCGGTACATTGTCAGTGAGCGTTGGGATTGCGAACACGTCCGAATTTTTATTATATTTCGTGCACATATAAAGAACAATAGACATAAAAGGTACGGAAGAAGAAGAAGGTGCGTACAATACTATAGCACAATGCGTAAACAGTGTTATTAAGAATTTCATACTATTGTTGTTTCATGTAATAAACGGATTCCTCGTTGTTTTTACAGTTGACCGCCGAGGATGAGGAAAGGCGGAGGAGACGTCGAGAAAGGAACAAAATTGCGGCCACCAAATGCCGCATGAAGAAACGAGAAAGAACTGCGAATTTGGTGACCGAATCTGAAACGCTCGAGTCACAAAACATCGAGCTGAAATCACAAATTCAAGAATTGAAGAAAGAGAGCGCAAAGTTGGCTGATATGCTGAACTTGCACAAGACCAATTGCCAGAAGAACATCCGCCCGTCGCAGAACCGTCTTCTGGATGCCAACCATTCCTATTCGCTCCCATCCTCAACTGATAACAATTACAGGATTCCTGCGACGACGGCCGACTCCTACAATCGACCTTCGAGCATCGGCAACTATCACTTCTCGAAAAACACCATACAATACCCCAACAAGATCATTGTCGAAAGCGTGAATGACGATGCGACCTACCAAACGAATTTAACGAATTTGGACGATCCCTCGGATTCCTACGTTTATGATCAACAATGCCATAATTACTCTTCGAGCCAGCAGGGTTACGGAAACCATGGCATCGACGGCTGCATGGCCTAAATGTAATTTTCTTTGTTTTAATATTGTTACCAGATCTGATTCAGTATAGTCACTATCCATACAACAATCATCACAAAATTGTATATTTGCTAATGATTTGCATTTTTTTTTAAACAATTGCTTGGCATTAGTTCTTAGTTTAATTCAAAAAATATATTCCTTAACCCTGGGATACAATAATGTGGACATTGAAAGGCCACTCTTATATATTTATACGATTATTATTAGTTACATGCGTTCTGGGGTTAACTTAGGTTTTAAAATTTTGAAATCACCAAACAAGATGTTTTTGTATGGTTGGTGATTATATTAATTTTATATTGTTTATGTAAGTTTTAATACTTTTCGGTACATGTTTAGCATTCCAAAAAAAGTAATAAGTTGTATATTAAAGTAATAATTTTTTTATTTTTAAGTTACTGCCAAATTATTATTACTTATAAATATATATATAAAAAATCACAAAAAAAAAAGAGAATTAATTAATAATATATGAAATGTTACACAATTATTATTATGTTTTATATATTACTTAAGAGAATTTAATTTTAAATTTATATATTTTTTTCTTGTACCTTTCCTTCCACTTTTACCTCTTTTTTTAATTATGAACTTTTCGAAATCGAACTTTTTAATTTTGTTGTTGTCTTGCGTTTCTGTACGAAACGATTTGTATAATCTCTTCTACTATTTTATACTCAATTTGGATGGGAATATACTAATTGTATTATTATCTTTATAATTATTTGTTACTTGTGCATGAATTTTCAGATTTTTATTTTACTTAAGCAACTTTTTGTTTTGTATAAATTTGCTTTAAGAATTATTATTTTCGCGAGCTTTCATTTCGCTTCTAATTTATTCATGACTGTGCCTTATTGTCAGATGCAATAAGTGTAGCATTAGTTTTTTTATTTTCGTTTTTTTTTTGTCTATTGATTTTTATTTATCATCCGTTTGATATATTCCGAAATAAATTGTTGTATAATGATAAGATCGTAATTGATTGGAAAGAGAATTTTTGTGATAATAAGATGGCTAAGATTGTTTCGTTTTCTTATGCATTTTATTTTGTTCTTCCAGCTTTAATGTAAAATATATAAGAAATATTTATGTGCCATCGAAACGAAGAGAATATTTTTTTTAAATATTGTAATATTTATATACGCACAAATATATACTTACTCTAATGTATATTTTTATATATGCGCTGGTGCTCTTTTACTTTTTATTATACTGTGAATTTGTATTGATTGTACCAGTTCAATTTTTACTATTTTGCAATTTTTTTTTGATTTTTTATCTTGTAAATAGCCAAATTTTTGGAAACATAAATCAAAGCACTTTGTTACCTGTATTATTTGTTTGTTTTTCTTAAATATGATATATTGTAAATCATAAACGGGTTAACTTTTACCTGAAATTATATAAATATTAATTGTGCCTTAAATTGTTTATCAATTGGATCATATATTATGTTAATTAATAAAACAAACTTTTACGAACATTATATCGTCTTTTACTATCACAAATTATACATATAATATCATCTGTATTCATTTATTTCAATCACTTTTTCATAAAATTAACATTTTTAAAATGCAAATTAATTTATATTTCATAGCGATTGATTAAGTCTGTGCACTTTCGTATTAGAAAAATAACAACTAAAAGTTGAAAGAAATTCAAAAAAAAACTTTATGATTCAAATAATAATGAAGTAGTAAAATAAAATACAGAAATAGGCACAAAGTAATTAAACATTAATGACCTGAAGTGTACATCTAAGTCAAGGATTTCCAACAAAATCGAAATAACGACGAGTTATATAAGTGTAAAATAGCTTTTGTATCAACGGATATGTACATTTTTTAAATAGACAATTTCAATGTATACTGGGTTGCATATATAATCGATTATACCTTTTTTTTTAACAGAAATAGCGATATCTACCGAAAAATTAAATTACTACACTAAATTATTTTCATTTGATACAGATATTAATACGTAATATATGCACGTGCATGTAAATTGAGACTTTATATATTAATATATCATAGAAATTGAAAAAAATAAAAAAAATACCATTAATTAGAAATTTCACTATTTAGAAAGTTATGGTACCATGAATTTTAAGGAGTTATGAATTGAATTAATAGATTTTTCTTAATGACCTTAGTTTAGGTTAGATTTCAATTGTATATTGTTACTTTCGCTTATAAATTAAATATTACTTATAAATAAACTACAAACACCCATATCAAGTATAATTTTATAGGTATTCAATAAACAAAACAAATGATGGGTCTAAATTATATTTAAATATATAAAAAAAATGTTAAACAAATGAATATGTTGATGATAAATTAAATACATTAAATCATTTAATGTGAGATATTAATAACAAAAATTCTTTATTGCTTAAAAAAAGAAACGAACGGGGAAATCACTTATGAGCCTACAATGATGTTGTTGATTGGTATATGGATGAGCTTCACGAAGAAGCCAATGAATCCCATGATGCAGAAACCAATTGCTGTGGCAATGGCAATCTTCTGGAATTCTGTAAAAAGAAGAAAAAAAGAAATTTAGTTAGTCTTTAGTAATAACATGTGAATTATAAATAATATTCTAGGAAGATCAATAACTTATTTTTAAACTATTTCTTAACCACATTCAGTTACTTGCACAACATCCTCTACTATATTATTATTATCTTGGCAATTCCTCAAAATACTATTTACAAGTGCTGGCTGCAATCAATTGCATTTATAGCATGCATAAAATAAACATGAACTCAAAACTTTGAGTAATATAATTGAAGTAAACAAAGTTCATATGATAGTTTCCAATCAAAATATACAGAGTATAACAAATAAATAAGGTATTTTAGAAATTGTGTAGTAGAATGAAACAGTTCTGTTACAAACATATGTGTATGTATAACATACAACAATTAAAATTGTCCAAAGATCATGGTGTAATTTACAACTTGTTTCAACAATTATAACACCATATTGTTGAGTATTAATGATATATTGATTTTAGAACTTGATGAAGAGCTTAAGCCACATATGTTGTATGTATTAACCTCAATATATTATTATAAATTTATATAATAAAATAATTGTTAATAATCGATTTGATTAATTAAAATTGTGATATATAAATGAATTGATTGAGTATCTCACCTTTTCTGTCTGGTTTTGTGCACCTTTTGACCAATCTCATGGAGTTCTTGGCGAAAGAACGTCCTGGTTCAATGTAAGTCCTGACCTGGTCCATTTTATCTAATAAAACAATTGCCAATTAGACACTTCGTTCTTTGGGAATAATATCAATTCAACTAATACTTTAGTATTGATCAATGCTCAACTAGGACTTACCTTATTTTCGTTTGAAGTTCAGGAAACGAGTGGATGATCTCCAGCTACAATCTAACTGTATACGTTTACTACGTATAAATGAATGACAGGAAAATTGTACGTTTGGCAGCCACGATGGCATAAAAACATTTCGTGACGCGTTACGTGGAACAATCGACGTTGCCACATGTACCAAATAGTTATACATTTTTATAAAATATACTTGTATATAGTATAGAATACTTAAATAATTATCTATAAGTACTTCAATAGGATATAATCTCTATATGAATGCATTTATGCAATATTATCTTGATTTGTATATTTGGTTGCATATCATAATCAAACAGCATTGATTCAACTGCATAAAACTTTTACCTAATTACATTTTAATATGCATATTATAAAATAATAAACAATAGTTGCTATAATGACTGAATATATAATATAGATAGAATAATTATTAAAAAAATGAACAAAAATGCATCTATATATCTGACATTAAATATGTCTGAAGTATAATACACGAACTAGATTACATAATGTTATTTGCGAGTATTGATTATTTTCCTAATTTATGCGCAATTGCAAATAGATAAAGCCTTATAAAAGAAAGTGTAATGAGATTTCTAACGTCATTGTGTATTATTGACAATGAATATGGACATGATATTGTAGATAAATATTTGTGTTTTCCATTATAAAACTGTTTGAAAAACCAATGGTCAATAGTTAATTATTTTTTTCTTTAATATAATTACATACATATTTTATGTTGTTATCTTATATATTGTTTTAATTAAATTTATATAGTTGAAATACATTCTTGATTATTTAAAGATAATTTACTTGACAAGATTATTCTTAATGTTTGTCTTTTGAAATTCTAGAGACGGATTATTTACTTTTAGAAAATGCGGGACAAATCCAGGTAGAAAAGTAAACTGATTGTTCGAATTTTTTTTTTTTTTGTTAAACTTGTTACATCTCTCCTGGGAGTACCTTGCTATATTGTTCACATCGTTTTAGATATTATTCGTTTATTTGGTTATAGTGGAAAATATAGTTATTTGAATTATGTTCAAAAAGTTTCTTTTGACATAGATTATCAACTTAAAATTAGAAATAATTTGTAAATTTTAAATGTATGATAAATAATCTTTTATTCAATTTGCATTTAAAATAAATTATAAAATATTAAATTATAGAATTATTAAGGAAGCTTTCCTTAATAATTATGCAATTATGTTGCAAAATTGTTAAATATATTTTATTTTATTTATCAGTACTTCTTGACATTTTTTTATCATTGTGAGGAAGGGGCTAATCGTAAGTCCTTCAGTTTTTTGTGCAAAATTGTTTTCTAAAAAATATGCATAAATAATATTATGGTAATATATACTTCTTTGTTGGTTTAGTATTTTTGAAAATAGACCTAGCGAACATCAATTTGCAATTAGAACACAACTAAGAGAGTTTAAACAATATTAAGTTATTATCTGTGGATTGTTAACTTGCAATTATCGAATAGCTTTGTTACAGATGCGTGTTTGAACAATGCATTTATGATTATCAATCTCATATCCTGTTTGTTCGAAAATGTCCTCTTCTGTATTTGTGTGTATGTAATCATTGTATATTATGTGCTGTATATGTACTTAAACCCCCACCCGAATGCTCGCATTATCATAGATGTTTGTACAACGACGCTCTGTCTTCGTTATACAACATTCGCTGCTGGGCCAATTTTCTCATAAGCTTGCTGACCAGCCGAAGATTACTGACGTTTTCAGGAACGTATAATCTCGTTACGTTTCACTGTCCAGTAGTACTTACCACCAGCGACACTCACTGTCTTAATTAATTGTTAAGAGAAGATAACAGAAACTTCAGCATGAACTCATCCGCTTACTTGGTATTTGCCATTTTGGCCATCGCTCAATTGGGATTCTGCGACGAAGTCAATTATAAAGATTGTGGTAAGTTGTTGCACAAAACGTATT